GAGAGAGAGAGAGAGAGGTTTAGGGTTCCTTAACCATGGTGATAGTGAAGAACTTGCTCGTGGCTACATGACTAACGCTGAACTTGAAAAATCAGTAAAGGAATATGCTCAGAAGTGTCGAAACATTTCCAGGATTTACAGGTGACTCTTTTAATCATTTTTGAGATATTTGTATTACGATAGTCGCTGATTAATCGGGTCATCAATGATGTTCACGAGCATGGGCAATGCAGTTTGTCTAGGCAACCTCTACTTGATCGAATACAAGGTAACTGCTTATAGAGTATAAACCAATGCATTTTAAGGACTGGTTGGGTAATGCCGGTCCTTTTTTTGTCTTTCAACAAAATGGTTTTAGTCCTCTTCAGAAACAATGGTTTTTCTTGTTGTTCAGTTCATTAAAAATGTCATTTACGAGCTAGCTTTTCCATACCAAAACCTGTGCGTTTCTAGTTCGTTCTATGTTTCAAGAACCCAATACCTGGAACTTGACACTTCTTCACTCTTATAAGCATCCTGCTTCAAATCACTGTCTGTGGGATTGGAGTAGCTGCATCTTACTGGTCAGGAACATTCCCTGCAAGGTCTCATGGGTTTGTTGGAAAGTTTATTTGGCTTTGCTTAGGGCTGGCAACGGGCCTGCCAGGGTTGGCCTGGACCAGGCCAGGCCCTGTTCCCCATAAGGCCGGCCTTGGCCAAGCTAGGTCCAGACCAAGCCAAGGGGGCCCTTTTCCAGACCTGGCCCTCACCCTATCCAAGGCAGGCTAGGCTAGACATAAATAAAAAAATAAATAAAATAAAACTTAAGGAAAAAGAGGACTGGCTGGGCCAGGCCAAACCGAGATGGCCCTGGCCCAAGGGCCAGGCCCTTAGGCCTGCCCTAGCCTGAAGGCCGCATATTGTGGCCCAGGCCCTAATTTTTAAGGGCCAGGCCTCCTGGCCCATTGCCACCCGTGGCTTTCTTTTATCATAATGGGGTTGAACCAATTGGTTTGGTTTGACCCGTTTTGTAACAACATAGCTACAGAATGCTGTTTGCATTTTCTCATGAACAATTTGAAAGAATATTTAAGCTAACTCTGTGTTCTTTGTCTCTCGTTGAGGGATGGTGGTGATGAATTATTAGTATTGGGACAAGTGTGAAAGGTTTTCCACTGGTAATGCATAAATCAACGTGCCTTCTTCGTGTTGTTTTTATTTTCTTTCTTCATTTGGTCCATTGTGTTTGCTTCTCTATTTGGATGTTCCATTACTACACCAGAAATCTATTGATCATTATTACATGCAGTGGGTGATAGAAATCTCTGACAAGCCAGGAGAAGAAGAGGCTGAACCTGCTTTTAAGGTAAGTATCTTAGTTCCTTTATTTTATTTGAATACTTGCGTGTTATTGACAAATTGGGAAGCAGACCTGGGGATATATGCTAAGATGAAGGGATGTTTTCTTCTTTTTCCTTGTGATGACATATAAGTCTTTCTTTTTTGTTCTCTGTTTTCTTTGTTTCCTTTTTTGATAGATTAGAATTAGTGAAAATGTGTATGATAAAGTTTTATTGCTTGAATGAATTAGCTTTTTTCTCCAAAATGTCTCTTTTTTTATTTTTTCTCCGAGATGTCAATTGTTATCTTCTTGTCATAATATAGTTTTGTGTCTTTTAGTGGATTAAATGGAAATTGATTTACTGAGCGTGGCTGCAGTTGTTAGCCAACATGCATGGAGATGAACCTGTCGGCCGTGAATTACTTCTACTTCTTGCAAATTGGTTGTGTGAAAATTATCTGAAAGATCACTTGGTATGTATGCTGACCTCTTTCATTGTTTGTCAATTATTTGTGTTAAGTGAAAGCAATCATCTATATAGAGCAATTCCTTGATATTTTTTGGGCTGCTTACATTCATAGATGCGTGAGTGGATGGGTCATGGAAGTATGTATTTGTGTACTTCCATGTAACTGTAATGTCATCCTATTGTCATGCTTTTTTGGCCTCTCATTATTATCCTGTCTGTTGTTTCTTTTAATTTTAATTTGAATAATTGGTGCTGAGTTTTTGCATTTTTCTCTTTTTCTTCTAGGCAACTTATATCGTTAGAAATATTCACCTTCATATACTTCCAACAATGAATCCTGATGGATTTTCTCTTAGGAGACGAGGTAATGCGAACAATGTTGACCTAAATCGAGATTTTCCTGATCAAGTGAGTTACTGTTTGTTTGAACATTTTCTGTGAGTATTTATTTCAAGGGATTATTTTGCTTTTCACCTATCGGTGGATTTGACATGGTTATAAAAATTTGACATTCTACTTCATTAATTTTCTGCATAGATCTCAATAAAAATTTGTTCTAACACAAGTAGTGTGTACAGTTTTTTACAGAGAATAATGATGACAACTTGCGGCAGCCTGAAACAAAGGCAATTATGAAGTGGATGATGGAGAGAAAATTCATAGCCTCTGCCAGTTTACATGGGGTAATGTTGTTATTTTTCTCGTTGGTGGTGAAACAGTCATTAATAGCAGTATGTGGATGTAACTTGCTATCCTATCCAGGCCATATTGCTGTCGTTACTCATTTTTCACTGTAAAAACCATCTTTCTTTTTCTTGTTACATATTGCATTGTGGTTCAAAATTATTTACTTCTCATTTTCTATTGTTTTGGTTTTGGTTTTGATGTACTTTCAAACAAATTCTAGATTATTCATGATGCTTATAATTCATTAGGTTTCTCAGAGCTTAATTGGTTAAGTACTTTTAAAGGAGTTGCTGCGGAACAATCTGGGAGTCCTTTCCATCTACCTATTGTTTTATGGCTTTCTTTCTGCATTTTAGCTACTTGTCATGGCCTTATGAGTTATATATTAAATTATAATCATTTTATAACATAGTTCCATGCAGTGGTGAAAAATAACCTATGCAGATCGGTAATTTACCGATCATGATCGGGAAACAGCCAAGAGCATGCTAGTTCTAGGTCTGAATTGGTGCTTCGATTATAATATATAAAAGTTATATCACAAAGGTCAAACAGCTCTGTTGGCTAAGCATTCGGACCTTATCCATAAGGTAGGAGGTTCAAACCCTCCTAAGTGTGCTTTTCTTTTTTTGGAAAAAAAAAGCAGTTTTTATTTATTTATTTATTTTCCCGATTCATGGATCACAGTCCAGCTGATCCAGATCATTGATCCAAATTGGGATCGGTGGGTGTGTAATCGACCCACTGGTTCAATGACTCTGAGTCAACTTTTCTTTCTTTTTTATTATTTATATTTCAATGAGGCAGCTATGTTCTTTAATGATGACTGTTTTGTTATGCTCGTTCTATATGAATTGTGGTTTTCCATTCAAAATTTCATAATGGGAAGACCAAGTCCCACTTTTTTAATAAAATATACTGTTTCGTGTTCTTCCTAGGGTGCTCTTGTTGCCAATTATCCATGGGATGGCTCCGAAGACACAAGGTACTGAGTCTACTAACAAAATACTCTTATTCTAGAACCACATTGATGGTATCTTTTCAAACTTGGTAGTTGTTTTCCTCTGCCTATGTGGGTCTGGATTGTTATTGCAGTCTGTTTGCTCATTTACGTGGGTTTCTTGTTTTGTCTGATTTATTTAGTTGATCCACAATTTGCTCCTGTATTTGCGTTTATTAGTTAAGCTACTAGAACTTTCAAGTCCCTTACATGATTTGGTATAGGGCCACTACTTTAGTAGTGAATCAGTTTTGTGACCTCATGAACCATAAATTTGGCTGTTTTCCTTGATCCTTTAGTCCCCGGCATATCTGCCTTTCATCGAAACATTAGTCATCGTATAAACTTTGCATGTTCTTTACTTCTTTAACCAATTTATTTATATAGCTTATGTCATTTCCTTTTCTTACGTATGCATTTATTTCAGGAAACAATACTATGCAAGTCCAGATGACAAGACATTTCGTTACTTGGCAAGTTTGTACAGCCAGTCTCATCGTAATATGTCTCTGAGCAAAGAATTTCAAGGAGGGATAACAAATGGAGCATCTTGGTAGGATAGTGTTACATCAATATAGTACAACTCTAGAAAATGTGGAAAATCAGCATTTTCAACACAACAATCTGAAACTTTTCAAGTTTCTAGTAGTTCTTTTATTATGCAAATATATACTATAACCCCATGAAATGATGGATAATGGTGTAGAGAGAGTGGGATCCACCACTGGGGTCATGTCCTGTTCTGATGGGCTCATGGGCCCACTCTCTCCACCTCCGTCATTCCAAAGGTCTTGAGCTACTGGACTATGTCGTTTTTAACTTTTTCCATTTCCATTGGATTATATTAGACTTTCCCTTTTATTATATGCATATGGGTATACCACACTAGTTTGATCCAATGTTGATTCTCTCTCTATCAGGAATAAATATTTGCTTTCTTACAGGTATCCAATATATGGGGGAATGCAAGACTGGAACTATATACATAGAGGTTGTTTTGAATTAACACTGGAAGTCGGTGATAACAAGTGGCCGAAAGCAGAAGAGGTTAGCTACAGATATCGAAATATTGAGTTTCTTTTTTACTGTGGTGGCTCTTGGGATTTGAATGCTTACTGAACAGTTAAGAGAAAAGCTATTCAGTTTCAACCTTACATAGCTTTCATTTGCTAAATACAGCACACAAGAAAATTAAGATCAGGGATTTGGTTGCTAATTGTCATGGATTCTCACATCTGCTTACAGTCAAATCTGCCAATTGCCTTTGATTTTCCTCACCTACACAACAACTTTCACCCTCTAGTTTGGAATGAACACTATGTTTTCCATTGTCAATTGGATTGGGATATACTTCGCCATTCTAATGCCACGAGGTTGTGCTTTCTCTGTTGAATAACCCTTTCGAGTTTGTTTGCAGCTTCCCGCTTTATGGAAGGACAACAAAATGAGTCTGCTAAACCTTGTTGCAAGTGTTGCCAAGGTAAAATGATAGTGTAAAAAGTAAAATGAGTCAGCTCTCTGTCAGTTATTTTTGTCCAGATATATTCAAGCATATATACACAGAAAATATGCATTTATACATTAATAAAGGTCATTTTTAATTGATTTACTGCATATATTATAACACCAATTATCCAGAAAAAAGAAAAAGGAAAACCTCTGGTAACATTGATTTGACAGAGTGGTGTCCATGGAAGGATCTTGTCATCAAAAACAGGACTGCCTTTGCCTGCCTCTATTAAGATTAAGGACATCAATTACACGGTATGTACCTTTTTTATTTTCACCAAAATCGCCTTTTAAGGGGTCAAATTGATTGAATGTGTAAAACTTGAATGTGTTGGACTCTTGAGTTGCAGGATCCTTTCTTCCTAACTTTTTGCATAGAAACTAGGGAGAAGTCTATCATAGGCCAGTGGCCTATGGAATGTGTTTCCACCATGGGGGCATCCACTGTCAGTTTCCAAGGAAAAAGCGTGGAGATTAACTATACCTGGATGAACTACCATTAAAGGAAGCTAAAGTTATGGATAGCAGATGCCCCTGTGATGTACCACATGACATATACCATTGGTGTGTTGAATACTTTCCCTGGAAACAAAGGCAGGGCTTTAACTTTTCGTTGTGATTAATAAAGGTGGTGTGTGACTGAAAATTATAAACCAGGTGAAAGCAGGCCAGAGATTTGGGGATTATCATAGGTTGCTTGCACCTAGTCAAAGCTATGACGGTATGCACTCAAAACACTATACATTATTTCATATCAAGCATTGGGAAGAATATGCATTTGAAGCACTATTTCTACGGTACATATAAACCATGATGTCACATGTAACCATTCAAATATGGATATTTTCTTTTATATCATAATGTTTCATTCTATGTTGCATGTTTTCTTGTATTATTTGAAGAAACAATTTCATGATTGAATGTGGAGTTAGTTCACTAAAAGTTGTGACACAATTTGGATGTCCATCATTTCAACCGACACTGACTCATAATACAAAACTCATCTCTCTCTCTCTCTCTCTCTCTCTCTCTCTCTCTCTCATGTATTAAGTGTATCCAGATCCTTTTATTGAGAATAAAAAAGGGGTTTAAATAGAACTTTAGTGGCTTTTGGGTCGTGACAAATTATTTTATGATTTCTCATTTTCCAAGTTCTTGAGTTTGGTATTCAAATACCTTGGTTGAGAGAGAGAGAGAGAGAGAGAGAGAGAGTGAGAGAGAGAGAGAGAGCTGTCTGATTTGTTTGATGCTTGTGCTGGCTATGGCTTGCAGTTACTGCATTCATGCCTGGTTACGAGTCCAAGACGACACGGATATTGCTTGAAAATGGAGCCATGAACCTGGACTTCGTTCTTATTCCAGAAGAAGAGCCAAAAGACCACATGGATCTATGTAATGGTTGCCAGTGTAACTGTGATAACAAGGGTAAGCTTGAAGTCATGGAGGTTTTTAACAGGAATCATTTTCAGATAACCCTGGCTCTAATTGCAATTTCTGGCGTTTTATGCCTTATTTTCATGGGGAGATTAAGGCTAAAACTTCAAAAACGCAGGCAATTGGTAGGCCACAAAAGGACAATTGTTGCCTGAGTCTTTACTAAGGCTAAGTACCAGTCATTTCAATCAGAAAATCCGGGTCTGATTTCTGTTCATAAAGGTCAGGCAGGTATTGGGGAAAATTAGAGTTGCAAGATTCCAAGGCCTTTACTGTGTAGTGTGCTCCTGTGCGACCATACTGTACATTTACTTCCTAGGGTAGAAGAACTAGGGATGGTACTATAAATCTACTCTTGGAAAAAAGACCTGCTCAAGAGCATTTCTTCAATGTGAAATTTTGGGATCGGGATCCACAATAGTTTCACCAATTGAGTGTTTCCAAAGAAGAAAAATTGGATTTTGAGTTCCAAAATATTCAAGATCTGATTGTCTAAAAAGTGGAAAGACCCTTGTTGAATGGTTGGATGTAAAAATTTTGAAGTGGTTGTGTAATGCCCTGAATTTCTTCCTCTTGAAATTAGTTGCTAGGCTGAAGAGGTTACACTTTTTTAATGGCTGTTGGTTAGGGGTTGCATTTGTTACGGCCTTTCTTTCCACCTAATTCCAGAGACAGAATAAATGTATTTTCGGGAAAAAGTTTATATTAAGTTGCAACCTTAAAATGTATAATTAAGGTGCGCCTCAAAAATCCTTCATAGAAGGTTGTTTGGATGATGGAAGACTCCCTAATTGATTATCTCAATTGAGATGTATGATTATATATATAAAAAAAAGATTTCAAGTAAAAAAGAATTGGAGTCCCAAAAATAATCTTATCTTATAACGTATTATCAAAATTGTCCATTTCCAAGATTTTCTTGTGATCTATGTTTGGAGTTTAAAATTTTATAATTAAATATCAAAATTGATTCTCAAGCCATCTTGAGAATTTCTTATTTTTGGAGTTTAAAATTTTTATAATTAAATATTAAAGTTGATTCTCAAACCATCTTAAGAATTTTTTACACTAAAATTATGTTTAAGCATTGCAACCAAATGGTTTAAAAAACGGATCGGTGTCCTGGATCGGGAGTCCTAAAAACTCATTTGGATCGATGAATCGACGATCCGGATCGAGAATCAATCGAATCAATCCGATTAAACTTTAAAAAAATTCATAAAAGTGATTAAAATTCATTATAAATGTTGTTTTTTAAAAATCAAATAAGAAATACGGGTATTACATTATTAAATTTCAATTTTTGATCAATTTGCGAATATTGAGATGTTCTTTTCCTATATGAACTATGTTAACCATTAAATTTGCATCACATAAAACAAAAATACAGAATTATCATGGATAAAATATATAATTATACAAAGACTATAATAAATAATGGATTAAATCGATAAAAAATGGCCACTAAATTTTTGTTAGAAAAAAAAATATAACATTTAAAAAATATTTTTTTGTTATTCATGAAAAAAAAATTTTCGCCATAAAAACATAATTTTATTGAGAAAAATATGATTTTAGTAAGGAAAATAAAAAAAACACTTTCCATATTCATCATAAATTTTTAATTAACTTAATAAGATTAAGTTAAATTAATTTTTTTTTAAAAAAAATCGGTTTCTCAAAACCCCCAAAAATTGAGCAACATTTCAAAGCAAAAACAACCCTTAAAGTTCAAAAAATCGAACAAATAAATGTAAAAGCTTTGTAAAGGCTTCCATCATCTTTTAAACGTACCAAATCTAATAAAAAAATATATGGTATTTTTTATTTAATTTAAAAAATCGTTGAAAATTTAGAACTATGAAACTTTCATGACATCAAGCAAGAAATAAATTCATATAAAAATATTTACTCAATTATAAACCAACTTGCATATTTTAGATGATCAAAATCCATAAATCAATTTGATAAAAAAAACCAGTAAATTGATCCAAAATCTGCTTTTTGTATCGAACACAAGTTCTCGAGCCTCAAATTTTGAGGTCAAAATCAATCCCAAATATCTTGTTTTTTGAACAAATTGAAATATGGATATGATAACCAATTCGATTGTGATTCAAAACCCTAAGCTTTCATCAATAATGGTTATCTATTAAAGATGAAATTAATGAAATAGCATATCAAATTAGGGTTCTTTGAGAAGCTCGGAAACATGTTCTTTGAGCAGCTTGAACGCAGGTTCTTCGAGCAGCTCGAACACATGTTCTTCCAACAGCTTGAACACAATTTCTTCGAGCAAATTTTCGGGTCAAAATCAAACCCCCTATATCTTGTTTTTTGAACAAATTGAAATAGGGATATCATAACCAATTCGATGATGATTCAAAAATCACAAATTTCTTTAATAATCGTTACCTATTGAAGAATAAATTGATGAAATGGCATAAATTTCAAAAGGTTGGAAAATCTGCCACTTCAATCTACAAGAACTATTGTTTTTTTTATCTTTGATTATAATTTTGTTGTTTTATAGACAATCAGTAATGGTTTACAACACTAATTCACCAAAAAGGCCAAAAAAATGACAAGAAAACATAATAAAAAAAAGCAAGAAAATTTGATTCACAGGTCCTGCTGCAAATAACATGATTTCAAAAAACAGTCGCCATTTCATTTCGCCTGTTTTTGTCAAAAATAAATAAAAAATGCCCTTTTAACAGAAAACTGGTCCGATTAGATCAAAACTGACCGGTTAGACATAAATACGGCCGGTTCGACCCTTAACTAGTCGGGTGGTCCGGATATTATATGGGGTGATACCCTAGGTCCTTAGAACCCCAAAATTGCCCCTAACTAGACTCGGAACTCTAACGGTTATGAGCTAATCGGGATGTTCCAGTTCTAACTGGCTGATTTTTCTAATAGTTAGTGGCAACTAATTGCTTTAAAAATATTCCCACATATCAAAGAATTTGTTCATGAATCAAATTTGCAATACATTTTATACTAGTTTAAAGGTTTTGAAACGCTGCCTTTGATGGTTTAAAAGGAAGTTTTAATGAAAAGGTTTATATGTAGCCGAGGCTTTAAACAATCAAATTAGTGCCTATCGTAAAACTTTCATTAAAATAGGATTTTTTGATGCTCAAATATCTTCGAATTTATCATATTAACATAAAGATGCATGAACATGAGAAAAAAAAATGGATTTCAAGTTTTGAAATAATGTATCTTGTAATGCATTTTTGGACCGTCAATTTTCAAGATTTTTAAATTTTATAGATCTGCTCGATCTACATTATTTTTGAAACTTTATATTTTATAATTAAATATTAAAATATATTTTAAAGGTATCACAAAAATTTTAAATATTAAAACTACATTTCTCATTACTATTTGAAGGTGCGCTTTACTTTGATTGTTTAGAGCCTCGGCCCTATACAAACGGCACCCTTTTGAAAAATATGGAAGGATGAGCACAATTAGGGATGCACACGTCATTCCCAAGATGTATGCGTATTTTAGTAAAAGAGTATGCGTATTTTAGTCATTATTTACACTATAACAAACATTTATTTCAGAGATAAAAAGTTAAAAACACAGTTGCCATGAAACGACAGGGAAGAAGAGCAGAGGCCATGGTCGAAATCCGCTGAAAATTCGTTTTATGCCGAAATATTCCGAACTTTCGAGAAATTTCGTGTAAAATTCGTTCTCATTCTATGAATTTGATCCCATAGATTTAGGGTTTGGGCCTTTCGTCTCTCTCATCCCTTTCAGCCATTAAAGGTGCTATGTAATCTTTCAAAGCTCTGTAAATTTCACCTTTTTTATTCATTCTACCCTTAAATTGAGGTTTTTTCAGTTCGATTTCGCTCCAATTTGGGGTTTGGTTTGATTCTCTCTGGGTCTGTCCGTACAGTTGAAGCTTTTTGTGAAGCTTTCCAATGTTTCTCTGCGTGTTGGTTCTATGCGATTCCGAGGTTCATTTGGCTTCTAAATTCGTTCTTTTGTCTTCTCCCATAAAATGACCTTTTGCTGATACTCTCTGTATTTTGGCATATTTTGATGCACCTTTGCTCCTAGTTTATGCTCTTTGGGTCCAATTATCTTTGACTGAAGTTGTGGTTCTTCGAGTCTTGTTCTCTCGAATACTGATTGAGGTAAGAAAAGCATTCTAATATTGTCAAGAGCTGCTTCTCTGTTGTTTCCAACCATTTGTAATTGTTCTCTCAATTGATAATATGGTGAATCTGTTCCAATTTGAGTGTTCATCAAAGTTATATAGTACCATTTGTAATTGTTTTCTCAATTGATAATATCGTGAATTGATTCTAATTCGTGTGTTCATCAATGTTATGTGGTATAACTGTGTTTTGTTTGATTCTGGATGCATGATAATTATCTGATAGAATTGTTTGTGCCATGGATTAGGAATTTATTTTCTGATCTTTTAAAATGGATGGTTTCATGAAGTGAGTTGTTGTTGCTTAGACTGGTTGTAACTGTTAACTACATGAAATATGGTTTTTTCCTTGATGTGTAACAACTCTTTTCACACAAAAATCCAGCCAATAAATCAGAGTTCATTCAGTTCAAAGCAAGGATTTACAGTAGAATATGGAAGAGAAGAAGATAGTGGCCACTTCATGGGGGACCTCCAATGAAAAACGATTGATTACTGAAGCCCTAACACCTCTCTCTTAGAATCCCACTGATTATTTTATACATCGGAAAGAAAATGCAAACCCATCAGTAATCTAATTGATGAAATCAAGGTCAAATCAACACACTTACACTGACATTACCAATTCCGTCTTTACCTCAGTGGGCCTCTCTAAAATTCTAATGATGTTGATTCAATCTAATGCTTTTTTATAGTATAGATGCTTTGCAATGATATCCACAAGGTGCCATGGATATGTCTCCTCATTACAGTCAGTTACATGTTACGTATGGTTCAATAGAATAGGGGTAGGGGACGTATTTATTGTGTCTCCAAAGACCTAATTTCATGGCTAAAGCCCAACTCTACTGAACTTCTTGATTTCATGGCTGAATATTGGAGCTCAAGTTTCCAATTTTATTAAATCATTTACCATAATGTAATAACATTGGAGCACTTTCTGGAATCTCGTATTGAAAATACTGAGAGAATCCTGCTATTATGTGAAGGACTTATTTCTGATAATCCTTTACATATTAATGTAGCCATAGATGCGGCTTTCCTTGCAGAAGGTGTGTAAACTAAGCAAAATGTGACCATTCATGAGCTCTACTTACCGAATTAGCCTGTTTCCTAGTAAATATTTGACCTTCTGAGTGATCCTTTTGCCTCTTCAACTAAAGTCTACATTGTAAGAATTTGGACTTTTGACTCGTTGAAATATCGATCTGGCTCTAGCTTAATTTTTGGATACCTTCATTAAAGTTTATGCATGCTCATAAATAATATTACTTTGACATATGTGGCGTGTTATGTGTGATTGGCTGCATTGATGCAGTGGTAACTCTTTGTATCAGTTTTCTGATTATGTTTATATTCTGTCCATTAGTTTGCTTGCTTTAAGTGGTCAACTAGAAAAACAAACTCTCTTGTCAAATTCTGATTTGATCTAGTAGAATTTGTCAATGGAAATAATTGAATCTGATAATTCTATGGGAAGTTTTTGCAAACATCTCCTATATTTTGTGGAATTTATAAAAAATATCTTTGAAGTGTTAATTTTACTCACATGTCCCACTTATTTGAAAGTGTTTCTCGTATTTTAATTTTAATACACTGGATTAAGCTGAAATTTTGTTGTCCATGCTTCTTGCCATCATGCACCTATTAATAGTATAAAAATTTATTCAATACAAGTAAGTTGACCAAAACATCACTAAAAGTTTTAGGGCTATTTTGGTCATTTTGATCACTTATTTTTTTGTAATTTTTACAGGTCTGTGATTGTGAGAAGTATGGGCACCCAAAACTTGAGCTTGATCCTATGTACAAAAAAAAAATAGAAATTAATATATGATACACACTATCACAAAGTGGGAAGTGTAAGATATGAAATACTGGGGACATTTTTTTCATTCCATATATTATAGAGGATATTTAGGAAAATTTCCCTAATTCTGTTTGCCTAGATGATCTCAATGCTGCCTTGAATAAGTTTTGGCTCATGAAAGCTGGTTATTTTTCTACTTATTTGGTCAGGTCTTCTATTATTGTGTTTAAAATGTCAAGTATTATTACTAAGAACATTTGGTGATTTTATCTGTAAAATAACATTTTATCGCAGGAGTTAATGAAAATGGTTGGATCTTCTGGGAGTGATTTAGAAGGCGGTCTTGCTGTACTTCAGTTACAAAATTGGAGCCATCTTCATATTGATTTATCAGAATTCAATGAGTTTTTTATTTCCCCAACCAGAGAGCTATTGCTATTGCTCTCATACCAATGTGACGCATTGTTACTTCCTCTAATGGCTAGTGGATTATCAAACCGCTTGTCATCCTCCAAAGCAGCAGCACAGGCAGATTTAAATAAGCCAGATACGCTATATGATACTCCATATGAGTCAGATCCAATAAACATTCCCAATTCTTCATTGCCTGCAAAAAGTAGCTCTTCTTCAGCTTTTAAACATCACCCAGTTATTTCTGATGTGAAATCCTTGGCTTGGGGTTGTTGTGGCGATGCATACAATCAGAACACAGATGCTCGGTTCAAGGAGCTTCTTTTTGTGGCTGGTGATCGTGGTGTTACAGTTCATGCTTTCCGTTGCCTCAACCAAGAAAATGAGACATCTGAATTGGTTTCTGAGGGTTTTCTTGAAGAAGGGAGGTGGGTAGAATGGGGACCATGGGCTTCTTCTAATTGCAAGGCCCGTACGGAGGAGCTTGTCAGCTCTGTTTCACAAAATGATGGAAATGTTTGGGGAACAAATGCAGGCAATGGAAACGAGGAACAAGATTATGGCGTGGATCGAGAAGCGGACTATAATAAGTATTCACAAAGAAATGTAGGTTGCAAAAGATGGTTACAAACTTTTCTTACTGAAATTGAGACTATTGAATCTGGGGGCAAATTTTTAGCTAGGTTTCCTGCAAATTCATCTTTCCCTTGTATAGCTGATGTGATCTCCTTTAGCATTTTGTATCATGCTCCAAAGTTCTTGGATTTTTTGCATAATCATGATCCTGCTTTAATTTCAAAGGAAAAAGAGAGGCAGGAAGTAGATATAAAATCTCTTTATAAATGTTCCAAAGTCTTTTCCAGCTCGTCACACCGATTAATTGGTATGGTGCTGACATCAGAAGAGCCTTCTTATGAAGACACTAGTGCAGTGGATGAAAAGTGGAAACGTAAAGTGTTTGTGGTGGTTGCCATGTTACATAACTGGGGAATACAATGGGTTTCCTCAGTGAAACTCCATAGTCTTTATCAGCGATCGAGGACCCAATTTGAATGGGCAGATTTTCAACTTTCAGATGATTTTCTTATTTGTCTGGATTCATCAGGTTTAATCTTCATATGGGGTTCAACAACTGGGAAATTGGTTACCAGCCTTGATGTATTGAAGAGCTGCGGAATAAATTCAAAACCTCAGTGTCTTGTAGAAACAGCACAGTTATCCATGTATAGTGAGAATTTTTCTTCCTCAAGACTTGAAGAACAAACTGAACAATTTGATGAAGTGTCCAATGGCACTTCTCTTCGAAAATTCAAGAAGTTGTTGGTTGCTTCGAATTCTTTACTTCTTGCTGTCACTGATAAATATGGACTGACCTACGTGATCGCTGCTGATGATTATATTCCGGAAAATGATTATATGCAAAGTAAGCTGATTCCAAATTTTGAGCATTATGGTCTTGGTGTATTGGCCAATTGGAAACTTGCAGGTTCTGATATAGGTAGTCACAAGATGTTTCAGTCTCATTTGGAGTCTCATATAGAAGATTCATCGTACAAGGACGATATTGGAAGTAAACAGGTGGGAAAGAAAGGAAAGTGGCACAAGCCAGGTTGTGAAACTCATTCATATTTGCATGGTTTTTCTTGCAGATCATGGGTAAAGGGAGGTCATCCTTCCTTCTCAGACACTTCATTGACACCTAGCCGTAGAGTGTTTCTTCCCATAGAAGGATCTAATAAAGAGGATTCCATCTTTTTTACTGCCCTTGGAATCACTCGTATTGTAAGAAAATGCATTGTTAATAATGGAAGGGGTTTTAAAATTATGCATTCCTGTTTACATTTATCTCCAGAAGTTCTTGATGATAGAGGTCTAGATACAGGCCTATCACTAAGAAAGTTTTGTTCTTTGGAGAAGGAATACGAGTTTGTTGGAAAAGTGATTGGTTGCTCTTTTCAAGGATGTGTATATTTTGTGTCTAAAGATGGCCTGTTTATTGTACTTCCATCAATTTCAGTTCCTTCGGATACGCCACCTGCAGAATATATAGAATATTGGAGACCAATCAGCATAAGAAACAAAGACTCTCACTTAGAACATCTTTTGGTCAATAGAGGTTCTAGAGACCTGCGGCAGCCTTGGCAAATAGAAATTTTGGATAGAGCACTTGTTTGTGAAAGTCCAGAAGTAGTGGGTCACCTGTGTTTAGAAAATGGTGAGAATATCAAACTTTTCTGGCTTATTTATCTGTAGTTCTTCATTTTCTCTAAGGAGTAGTGCTTATCTGTTGCTACTTCTGTTTTGCAGCATATATGAAAATCAGACATATTAGAAAAAGGCATATCTGAAAATCATACTTCTAATTGAAAAATCATACTTCTGCATTTATGGCCTTCACTCAGCTTCAAGCTGAGTGTTGCAGTGGAGATTTTTCCACATTTTGCATATGATTCTCACAATTTCCTTCGTCATTTTTCTTTGTGTGTGCATGCATGCCCATGTATGTTTATGCCTGTGCATGTGCATTTAAAAGGAGGAGGAGGGTGGTGGTTTCGGGGGTTTTTTTTTGGGGGGGGGGGGTGGGGATGGGTGAAAGAGGTTTATTATGGGCTACCATGTCATATTTTGCCAATGCAGATAGTTAATTTTTGTTTTATTCCAAATATAAAGTGTTTGGATGTTTATTTCACTAAATTTGGGGATAGGGAATGTAGTTAGTGCAACATTTATTCCCTGATGAGTGCCAATCTCTCTCTCTCTCTCTCTCTCTCTCTCTCTCTCTCTCTTCTCTNTCTTCTCTCTCTCT